ACATTTGTCAGCAGATACATATACAAATGTATCACAAAAGAATACTATACAATCCTAACTACCTGGTGCTACATATCAGAGCTAATCGACCAAAAGAATGAAGCTATACTTCACAAAATACCTCCAACAATCCTAATCTGCAATGCCTCATAGAGCATTATAAAACAACAGAAGGGTGAGAAATATTATCATAATAATCAATGCATATAATTATATATATACAAGCATAGAATACACATATTCCGCATTTCTCACCACAATCCATTATCATCATCATATACATCACAATATATGTATAAACAAATATGGATAATCACCCAACATGTTTCATCATGCACACATCCATAATCCTCAATTCCACAATTCATACACAAACATACTTTCATATAACAATGATATCTATGCCATGTGACTCGATGCAACTCAATGCAACTCATGCCATGTGGTACCAACACTTGTTATCATTTTTTGGTTTTTACATTTAAACCGGGTCCGTCCCCTAGACCGATAACAACAAAAGCCCTTCCTCTAATCTTTCAAACCCACCCTTCTAGGTTTGGGACAAGTCACTAGTCTCCACGAAACTAGCAAGCATTGCCTCTTGACTAAATGATGCATATGCAATCAACAACCATATGCACTTAAGACCGTTCTCGCATCTTAATCCCATGCATAGTCACATAATTCATCACACAAGAATTATAACATGATTGCACACTCACACATCATATCAAAGTATTCATACTCTCAACATCATCATATTTATCAAGCAATGCACACATATTCACAATATGTTCTCATGCATTATTCACAATATTGCATACAATCAAGATGCATTCACAATTCAATACCATCACCACATTATTCAAGCAATGCACACATATTTACAATATGTTCTCATGCATTATATATATGCCAAAAGGCCACATTTCACATTATTTCATAATCTAGGATTCACGCCATACGGCTACCCACAGCATATCACATCACAACAGTACACAAACTATTCATTTCCGATAAGGATTGAACATAATCGAACCAAACAATTAACATTGGATGGAAACACAAGGAAATGAAAATGCTGTCACACTCGCTAGCTCACTCGCCTAGTGAGTTCCTAGCGAACACTCGCTACCTGTTCGCCTAGCGAACAAGCTCGCGAAGGAAAACAGAAGCTACTGTAAGGCTTCGCTACCTACTCGCTGGGGCTTCGCCTTGTGAACCCCTCGCTACCTCGCTCGCTACCAGCGAAGAGGGTCAATTACATTCTGTCCAAGTCTGGGATCATTCACTACTAGCTCGCTACAGCGAACACTCGCGACTTGCTCGCCTAGCAAAGGTGCTAGCGAACGTCTGCGATGTTCAAAACCCCAACTTTCCAAACTCATCAAATCATCACAAAATCAACCGATTCAATTCTAACGATTTCCAGTAGTCTTAGTATAACAATCCTCGACTAATCTACACCATTTATTCTCAATCTTAATCGTTAACACATCGATTTTACCGATTAAACTCGTTTCTGCCCTAAAATGGAAAATGGAGAAAAACATCCAAACAATCCAAACAATCCATACATAATCATACACATTGACAAGATAATGATATTTCACACCCTTACCTTGATTAAATCGAAGCTAGAAGTTGTTCTTGAGCTTTCCAAGCTTTTTCCCCTTTTCCTTCTCTTTTCTCCTCTTCCTCTTTCTTTCTCTTCTCTTATGTTTCTATTCTTCCCTTTTCTTTCCACCTTTCCTTATATGTCTTTCTATTCTATTTCCTTGCATCATATTTCTTCTCCCAAAATATCTACCAATAATTCCAATAATTAAAATCATCCAAATGAATCAATTAATCAATATGAATAATTAATTAATTAAAATTGGGTTGTTATACTTCACGCCTCTCAAGACTTCCTTCGACCCCTTCATGAGTCTTAGGATACTTTTCTCTCCTTGAAAAACATATCCCTTTCTGTCAAATTCACCAAGAGAAATTAAATTTCTCTTCAAGTCAGGTACATACCTAACTTCAGTCAATAACTTTATTGACTCATCATGGAGCTTGAATCTCATAGATCCAATACCTGCAATTTTGCAAGATTTGTTGTTTCCCAGCAGCATAGATCCACCATCTTGATCACATAGCTCCTCGAACAATTCTATGCTTAGAGTCATGTTCCAAGTGCAACATGAATCCACAATCCACTCTTTTCTCGAGTCGCCACTTGAAACCACAAGAACATCAGATGAGTCAAAGTCATCTTGAACGATGGCTGCGTTGCCATTACCTCCATGATCTTTCAGGAGTTCAGGGCACATATTTCTTATGTGACCCTCCTTCTTATAGTGATGACATTGAATACCAGATATTTCGCCACTATAAGACTTCTGTTGACTTTTACCTTTCTTCTTGTCGAACTTACCATCCTTTCGCAAGAATTTTCCCTTAACGGCCAAACCTTCGACCACCGTCAAAGGTTTATGCTCTTTTCGTTTGTTCAAGTCCTTATAATACAAGGTTGATTGAACTTCTTCAAAGTCAGGGACTCCCTTTCATACAAGAGAGTTTTTTTTAAAGTGAGCATGTGTTCTGGGCAAAGCACACATCAACAACACTGCTTGATCTTCATCATCGATCTTCACATCAATATTTTCAAGATCAAGAATCAGCTTGTTGAACATATCCAACTGCTCAGCCAACACTTTGTCTTCACTTATCTTGAATGAATACAATGCTTGCTTCAGGTAGAGTCAATTAGCCAAAGATTTGGTCATGTACAAACTTTCAAGTTTCACCCATAATCCCGATACTGTAGTCTCCTTTGATACCTATCAAAGAACCTTATCACCAAGGCCCAATAATATTGTGCTGTGGGCTTTCTCGATCATGCCCGTCTTTTCTTTTGCTGTTAACGCAACGTCCATGGCTGCCTCACCCTTCAACGCTTCCAAACAACCCTGCTAAACTAATAGGGCTTTCATCTTCAAGCGCCACAGACCGAAGTCGTTCACTCTGATGAAATTTTCAATCTCATACTTTGTTGAAGGCATCTTCTCCATGCTTACAACACCAATTTGTTGTGAATCGGATACCTTAAAACTAAGTATAAACAATTTCTTAATGATCAAGAAACATACAAGGGTTAGGGTTAATAAAGAAGAAAACAACAAGCATTGATTATTAAATTGCTATTCTTTCCTTTCTCTTAGAAAAAGATTACAAGTATACAAGAATAACAAAATAACCTCTCTCTCTCTCTTAAAATTAGGATTTTATCTTCCTATTTTTCCTTATATCAAGATTGAGAAACTAACATCCTATTTATAAGAAAAATAACACACTAACCTAATTAATGGGCTTTTTAACAATTATCCATTACAAGCTAACTTAGGGTACAAGCTAACTTAAACAATTGGGCTTACAAGCAAGGCCCAAGTCAACATGCTAACAACCCTAACAATATTGACTAATGCATGTTAGAACAGACTTCGACTACAACACGCATTACTCACGAACAGACTTCGATCCAACATCTCACATTTTTGGTATGTTTGATCAACCAACTTCTCTACAAGTGGACCATGGGTTTTAAATGGGATATAAAGAATTTTTTTGGAGACAACAATTCCGAGTTATGGAAAGTGAATATTCAAGCAATTTTAAATTAAACAAAAAGTGTTTTGAAGCATGGAAAGGCAGACATTATGCTGACAAGCCTAACACAAGTAGGGAAGTCTAGGAGACCATGAGTTTTGTTATCTAGTGGCTGAAAAATAAGTTTATAAGGGAAGTCGGCATATATGAGCAACTATAAGGGGAGAAGATAATAATGGAGATGTGGGTCAAACTTAAACAATTATATATGAACAAGTCATTGACTCATTGGTTGTATTTTAAACAAACACTCTACTCATTTTAAATGATGGGAAATAAATCCATTATGAAGAAATTGATAAATTTTCACAAAATCATTGATGAAATGCAAAATATTAAGGTGAAATTTAATTATAAGGACAAGAGAAATATAATTCCCCTATTAAAGGGGTGAATGAAGCCATATGGTTGATATGTGTGATTGAGGAGTTTAGATCACTCAAGAATGTTTGAAGATACATTGTAATAATTAAATTTCCATTAACTTGATCAATCATCAAATATATTATTAGAGAACAAAGCAATTCAATATTTTTTTCACTTCATAAGGAACATGATTGGGTTAAAGATGACCGTGGTTGAAAAAGTGGCTTTGGAAGAGAATCTAACAAACATGTTTACCAAATCATTACTCATATCAATGTTAAAGTACCGTTTGAACTTAATCAAATTCGTAAAATAATGATTTAAGATTTGAAGAGAGAAACAAGGCGGTGAGTAAAGTAGTATTATCATATTTTTGAGTCAAGGTGGAGAATTATTGAAGTATGCCTCAAATTCTCAAATTTTTGGTAAAATGTTGCATTTCAACATTGCATGATCCCAAAGGCGCGCACTACTAGAAAACTTCATTTTAGTTGCGAATTTAGCCTCGGCCACCGACACCGACGCTAACTAGCCTTGACAATACCCAAGCTATTTAAACGCAAAAAAAAAAGCCATTTTAAAGTTACCTTTTACAATTATTTTTATTTAATTCATTAGACATGGCTAGGCCGAGGCTAAATATTTTTTAACTTTTGAATTATTATTTTTAAATATTAGACACGGAAGAGCCGAGCCTAATTATTTAAGATGGTTTTGAACACAGGACATTCTAAATGCTAAACAATACTTCAACCAACTCAGCTATCAAATTCAATTGAAAATTTTATTTGTAAATTTTATTTATTAATAATTTTGTTCTAATAATATCTCAAAATTTATTTTTCCACTCTTATTTTTCCTGTTTCCCACGGACAACACCGATTTTATGGACTGCGCCTGTGCCGCAGGCTGTACCACCATTGCAGACTACATTGTCATCTGCACCTAATCATGCCTATACCTCTAAGGTATTTAGGTTTATGCCTACTCCAGGTTTAAACATTCAAAAAGTGGTTGTCCCTCTAGATCATGCCTCACGTGAGATTCCGATGGAGGAAAATGAAGAGGAAATTGAGGATGAGGACGAGGATGAGGTGGTCGTGGGTGAAGGTAATGTTCCCCCTCATTTGATAATAAGGGATGATAATGGGAAGGTTATTATACAAACTTGTGGTAGCGGGTAAGTTTAAAATATTTATTCAATATTGTAACAGGCTTCAACATTATCATTGGTTTCAACATTATATCATATGACATCATTGGTTTCATTCAATCTTGTAGGTTTGTTCCGGCCAAAGAAGTAGCAAATGCCATTAATTATGTGATACACAAACAATTTTATAGGGGTTTCTATAATTGGACAACAATTTCCGCTGATGTCAAAGAAAAATGGTTTGCTCTTTTTGCGGTAAGTATTTATTGAATTTTGTCTAAAAGCCTCGACTTGTGCTTTGTGGGTCGGATACAATATGCAAATCTGAAAGTTTCAAAATAAAATCCTTCAGCTTTGATTTTATTTACTTGTCTAGTTGAAAATGAAACAATTTCAGTTTTAAGAGTATCTAGCTTTGTGTAGTTGAAAATAAAACAATTTCAGTTTTAGGAGTATCAAATGATGTGGCTTTATAATTTCATTTCTAGCTCTGCCATCATAATATTTATGGGTGTGTATATTACACAAGTGTTTAAGATATAATAATTTGGTTAAGAATACCTTTTGCTTATTCAAAGGTTGCTAGACAGGATCACCGTTTTTAATGCCATACACGATGCCTTGGATCTAACTTTCACGAACTCATCTTCTGATTCTTTCATATGCATTCCTAGGTTTGTCTATGCATAAGCTTAAAAAACCCACATTTATTCCTAAAATATGTTATCTGACTGCTTGTGATGAAGTAATTGTGGCCTTGCGAACTATTGCGCTTTAGATAGACTATTATTAAGTGTTATTTTAAACTAAGCCTATTGCTCTTTAAGTACTACGCTTAGTATTATAAACTAAACCGATGTTTGGAATTATGAAAAACTATTGCTCTTTAAGTATTATGCTTAGTATTATAAACTAAACCAATGTTTGGAATTATGAAAAACTATTGCTCTTTAAGTATTACGCTTTGTGTGGTTAAATGATAACTCCATAGATGATGAAGTAGAATATTATATCATGCTAATCTAGAAACAATTGAGTATAATTATAGAAGATATTAAATGTATCATGATAATATTCTGATGTAAGTAATGTTTATTTTAGGAATCTCCATGGTTTGTCCTCTACTTTGGTTCTGCTATATGTAAGTAATATTTTATACTATTTCAATCATTTTCAGGACAAGGTTTCACGGGATCCTCAATATGAGATGTTTGTCAGGAAAACCTTTTATTCAAAGGCAACCATTCGACTAAATGACATAATGAGGAAGGTGAGGTTAAAAGGGACCCGTCCTTCATGGATTGGCGAGGATGCCTGGAATGAGCTTGAAACTTATTGGAAGAGTGATTCGTTCTTGAAATTGTCCTCTCAAAACAAGGCCAATCGAAGTTTAGCAAGAGGAGGAGCAGTCCACACCTCAGGTCGTAAGGCTCATGTTGATGTAGCGCTTGAGCTTGTAAGTAATAAAGTCGATTTTTATTTCAATCTTTAATTATTTATACTATCAAATTTACTTTAATTTATATTTGTAGACCTAAGAACTTCAAAGGGATGTACGCCCTGATGAGTTATTTTTAAAGACCCATAAGAGAAAAAGTGGAGCATGGGTTGATCATCGTGCTGAGTCTACATACATAAGTTTTAATTAATTATGAACTTAATTTCAATTGGTGTATTCCTACCAAAAAGAAATAAATAAGAATCCTTGGTTATATATACTTCTCATGTTTCTTATCAAATATGTATGATTAGAATTGTCATGAACATCCCAAAAATCCTTGGTTATATAGACTTCTCATGTTTCTTATCAAATATGTATGATTGGAATTGTCATGAACATCCCAGGAATCCTTGGTTATATAGACTTCTCATGTTTCTTATCAAATATGTATGATTGGAATTGTCATGAACCGCTTTCTTATCAACCATGTATTCCTACCATGCAGGCACAATTGAAATGTTGTACTAAACTTCCCATGTTTCATAATCTGACACATGTGAAAGTTAAGGTTTTCTTTAATATGTGGTGTTGGTTGCAATAAATACTTGAATGGTTCTTATCATGTTTACACATTTATTTTTAAATGACTCCACGTTTACAAATTTATTTGGTATAATTTACTCTTTATTTGGTACAGTGGTTGCTATAACGGTTCTTATAAACCTATATTTAGAAATGACTCCTTTTTCTGTTTTACAGTCCACTTTTAAGGAAAAAGCTGGAGATGTTAGATGGAGGGACCGTTTTTAAATTATGGACAGATTCTGCTGGGGGTCGTAGTCGTGGTCGGGTTTATGGAACATCGGATTTAGCTATCAATCTGAAGCATGGATCCACATCCTTTATCCAACAACCTCAAAATTCCCGCGGATCTATGTTTGGGACATCCTTTGAATCAGAGAGCATCTAGAATTAGAGTTGAACAATTGGCTGCAACTACATCAGCTCGACTCGAAGAGGCTACCAAAGCTATTCAGGCATCAAATGAGATTGCTCGGAAGGCAACAGAACAATATCAAGCGTCTAATGAGTTTGCTAAGAAGTTGGAGTCTGAACTGAATGCTTTGAAGGCATTTATCATGCAGAAGCTTGACGCTACAAATGGTCAATCTACTAGTGTTGTCATTCGATCGTCAAATCCTCACTATGATGATGATTTAGATGACCAATCATTAAGTGAAGATTGATCATGCAGTGTTAGTAGAAGTAGTTTCAGATGTAAATTTTTTTGGACATGATTTTCAATGTATTCTGAGTTTTTGGGGCTGTTTTTTGTTATAGCTATGACTACTTTTTTTGTTGTTGTTTCAATCTATGTAATATTTTCATAACTCTTACTTCATATGTGTTATATGTTAAAGCATAAGGTCTTTTTGCTTCTGAATTTTATGTGTCATTTGCTAATTATCTATATTTTGTTATATGTGCTTTTGTTCTTTGGTTGTTTTTTTGAAGGAGAAGATATAAAATTATTTATGATCTTGATAAATTGATTGAAGGAGAACACGACATGACATAATTGTCATCTATTGGAAAATATGGTCAGCATTTATAGATTCTACAATTGGAAAGCAAGCATAATTTTGTTGACTTTTACAATTTGACTTTAGCCTCGGTTAGGCCAAAGTTAAATATTTTATTGACTTATGAAGTTTGACTTTAGCCTCGAATAAGTCGAGGCTAAATATTTTATAGACTTATGAAGTTTGAACTTAGCCTCGAATAAATCGAGGGAAAATGTTACTTTAGCCTCGACCAGGCCCAAGGCTAAATATTTTGTTGACTTATGGAGTTTGAATTTAGCCTCGGTCAGGCCCAGGCTATTTTTTTGTTTTTGACATGGCTAAACCGAGGCTACTGTAGACACGGCTAAACCGAGACTACTGTAGACATGGCTCTTTTTGGCCAAAGCTAAATGTTAGCTTCGAGTGTTTTAGCCTTTCCCCGACAACGACGCTATGCCGAGGCTAATTGGCTAGTAGCGTCGGTTTTTTGCCTTATAGTGTCGATAAATGGCCGAGGCTAAATACTATATTTCTAGTAGTGGCGAGGCATACATTTTCATTGGTTTTAGTGGATGTCTCCAATGTGAGACGCGTGAGACACATTCAAGGCATGCATTAGATCCGCGAGTGAGTCGTGTTTTTCGATTTTCAACCCAATAATTTTTAGAGAGAGAAACTTAGATAGAAATTGAGCGAGATTCTTATGAATTTAGAGAGTTATTTTCTTATAAGTCATCTTGTAATCTCTTGCATAATTACTCTTGAATTATAGTGGATCAAATAATTATTCTCTCCCTTATAATAGATTAATTTGATCAAATATGAATAATAAAATAATGTGTTCTTGTTCTTTATTTTCTTATGGCTTACAATATATGGTAGATTATATATTCTTTATCCTACCAATTCATATTCTAAACTTATTTTTAAGTATAAATGATATATTCTTTGTGCACAACTGACAAATTATTCTAGAGAGGACCATCAAAGATAAAGAAAATTCTTCCATAAAAGATTTAGTAGTGTTATTAAATATATATTGAAACTAATCATCACATAATGAGTAGACTTACACTTGTATATGTATTGATTTAATTATTTATAAAATTCCATGACTCCTAGGGCAGAGAAAGCAAGACAAACAACATGAAAGCTAGAAAATCCAGAAGATTTGCATAACTTTTCAAACTCTTTCTCTGTTCTTTCAACACCACCATCTAGAAACATGAGATTATCAAAGCTAGTAATCAACTTATCTGCTTTTGTATGTTGTATTTCTTGAGGCATTATGAAGTCCACTACAATCACTTTACCATGTTCTGGCAATGCTTTGTAGCATTTACTTAGAACTTTGAGACAGTTCTCATCAGACCAGTTGTGTAATATAGCCTACAATCATTAACCAACCACATTGAAAATATTATTGTTACTTAATTTTGTATTATTTGATGAAATATATATATATATATATATATATATATATATATATATATATATATATATATATATATATATATATATATATATATATATATATATATATATATATATATATATATATATATATATATATATATATATATATATATATATATATATATATATATATATATATATATATATATATATTATAATTAATGTTATTGACTAACCTTCAATAAAATGACATCACCTTTTGGAACATTATTAAACATGTCTCCTTCAACATGTTCAATCCCTTCATAGAATCAATAACACTCATTAGTGATATAGTTGCATGTTGTATATTAAAAGATTTCATTAATGCAATTCACTTAATAGCTGTGTCGATTCTACTTACTCATCTTTAAATAACTACATATGGAAAAAATCTATACCTTGATAAAATGGAGCATGTTGTATTACTTGTGGCAAATCAAAATTAATGCCATTTATAGAAGGATACTTAGAAATAATCATATTCAAACTTTGTCCAATTCCTCCTCCAACATCAACCAACAATGATATTCCTTCAAATCCTTTATATTTTTCTAATATCTTCTTCATTTCTATTGTGCAAATATCACCCATTGCTCTATTAAACACATGATTCCAAGCTGGATCAGACTGTATTCCTTGATACACAGCCATTCCATGCACTTTCATGTATAGTCCCTTATCACAATCTGCTAGTACCTCCTTAAAATTGTTCCTGCCAAACATAAAAACCGACCCTGATACGTCAATACTGCTAATAAAAAAAATTGAACGTAATCTTGTATACGTGTTATGTTGGTGTGTGAACACTGACACATGTCAAACACTGAACCATCGGTACTTACAATGCATCCATTAGCTTTGGGTGATTCATGAATGTCGAGAACAACGCAACGGAACCATTCTCCTCATCATTGACAAAGTATTTACCAGCTAAAGACAATTCATAAACTCTTTCACTCCCACCTTCTTCATTTGTTCTTATGGAACAAACAAGAAGATCATGGCTTGCAAGAAGACACAGCATTCGGTCAAGTCTTCGAGGCAATTGAGGATGCTGTGTTGTTTGATGTAGCTGTGAAGCAACATAAGACGCTGAAACACATGGTGGATTGGCCTTATAAATGATCTCAAACAAGTTTAGTTCAATCGAAGCTTTCAATACAGAAGTGTAAATCATTGGACCACAACAAAGAAGCATGGCAGAGAGACATGCATCATTATCATCATCATAATTATTCTCTCCCTTGAGTGATGAACATTTTGGAAGATCATGAATATTTTCATAGTTAGATCCCATGGTTTTGTTTTTCTTTTGGTTCTTATGTTTACTATGCATGTTGGTAACATTTATATGTATATGTTGCATGTGTTTGTCTTCATGTGTTTCTTGATGTTGTTTGCTTTAACGTTTTGTAGATTAATAGAGATTGACAAAAATGATTGTGACTGCGATTATGCAATGTGCGGTGAAATTATTGGTGCATGAGATTTTCTTTCAGCACTAAATATGGTAAGTTTGTATCAGATGACATTGAAACTATCATAAACAAATGCTATGAAATTGCATTGGCCGGCTTGAATAGCACACAAATATATATATATATATATATATATATATATATATATATATATATATATATATATATATATATATATATATATATATATATATATATATATATATATATATATATATATATATATATATATATATATATATATATATATATATATATATATATATATATATATATATATATATATAATGAAACTAATTTACATGTGTCGAGTGGTAAGGGTGTGGTTCTTATTGAGCAAGTAAGAAGTTCATATTTAGTTTTTGAGGTATTTTTTTCATATCTTCTAACAAGTTTATAAAATTGATAAAAAATATTTTTTAAAATTTTATAATCTAGAGTATTCTTTTAGGTCTCCACGTTCTAAAATCTCAAGTTCTAAAATCTAGACTTGTTGAAAATATGAACAAATACAAATGAATTTGAAGATTTCGACATCAACATTATGTTACATGTCAAATACAAATAATTAGTTGTGAATTAGAAAAAATAGTTATTTTTTTTTGTTAGGATCAATCATGGATGTCATAGATGTCATCAAACATCTTACGAATCAAACTTGAACATATAACATTATCAGAGATCTAATTTGATAGTTGATAGGTTTCATGGAACAATACATGTCAAATATTGAGAATATGATACTCATATCATTGTCATTGTGTAGTTGCATGTTGGTGAAACAAACTTGTTCGTAATTGTCTTGTCGATATTCAACATTGACCACATCAATTTTGTGTCACGCGCGGTGTTGAGACATAGATTCATTTGGGCTGACATGTGCTTCAGACCAAATAATGTAACATCGAAATTGATCCTAAACAAAAAAAAAAGAATGATTCCACTTGTTATAGGAAATTGTAGTTAAATCAAAGCTTATTGGTATGGATAGAAAGGGTGTATTATTATTATTATTATTTTTAATGTGAATTGCAAATAAATAAATAAATATCGTTTTATACAAGTTTCTGTACATTCTAGTTATCAGAAAGTGTTTGTGCAATCTAGACCAAAAATAATCCAATGACATGTTTTAAATTATAGAATTTAGGCTATGACAAATACTTTTGTACATGGGTGTGGATTATTGAGTTTCGACTTTGTCGAAAATCTCTTAATATAGGTTAGAATTATAGAACTCTGACTATGTCAAACACTCGTTAGCTGGGTTCTGAATTAACTAGTATATGCATATGTCTTTCATGTGTATGTATCAAGTAAGAGTGTAATATCCTACAGTACCACCTCATATATTCCTATAAACATTGAATACCATGGAGGATCTGGGTGCCCCATTCCTTTAGGAGAAACAAATATGGTCAAAGTACTTATCACACCTTTGATTAATCTAGAATGAGTTGATAATTGGCGTAGTTGAGCAGACACGGTATTTAGGAATATTGAAACATCTTAAACCTCAACGTATAATTTTAAAACATAATGCAGAAATAAAACTAAAAAAGGGTGTCTATTTTCACAGCATAACATCTTTCTCAAAATATAATCAAAGCGAAATTAAACTATTAAAAACATCTTCAATTATATCATGAAATAGTAATCAACTTTATTAAAATAATAAGTCAAATAAACTAAAATATTAGATGATAAACTTCGATCTAGAGGAGGTTGTTGCACCCCAAAATTTGA